ACCAGCTGCCTCCTGCACAACCCTACCGGGGATGTGCCCGCAACCAATGTACATGCCCCTGACCGGAACGAACTCGGGACCCTTCAGTCTGCAGACGGACGCTCTCCCATTGAGCCAAGCCGGTTTCAGCTACATTTAATTCTTTTATCCATTTTGAGTTTTCTCTTGTGTATGGTGTTAGTTGGTGGTCCAGTTGCATTTTTTTTGCATGTACCTGTCCAATTGTCCTGAGTCCATTGCATGCTCTTGTCTTCTTTGTCAAATATCAATGGAACGTAATGGCTTGGGTCTATTTCTGAATTCTCTGTTCTGTTTTATTGATCTATATGACGATTCTTATGCCAGTTCCAGGATGTTTTGATTATAGTGGCTTTGTAGCATAACTTGATATCTGATACTGTGATTCCTCCAACTTTGTTTTTTTTCCCCCTCAAGATTGCTCTAGCTATTCAGGGTCTGTTTTGGTTACATGTAAATTTTTGGAGTATTTGTTCTAGCTCTGTGAAATATGCCATTGGTATTATAATAGGGATTTCATTGATAATAAACAATCCAATTGAAAAATGGGCAAAGTACCTAAATAGACACTTCACCAAAGTGGACATACAGGTGGCCAAGAGACATATGAAAAAATGCTCAAAGTCACTAATCATCAGAAAGATGCAAATTAAAACAACAATGAGGTATCACCGCAAATTTGTCATAATGGCTATCATTAATAAATCAACAAATGACAAGTGCTGGCAAGGATGTGGAGAAAAGGGAACCCTAATACACTGTTGGTGGGAATGTAGACTGGTGCAGCCACTATGGAAAACAGCATGAAGTTTTCCTCAAAAAATTAAAAATGGAATTGCCATTTGATGCAGTGATCCCACTTCTAGGAATATATCATAAGAAACCCAAAACACCAATCAGAAAGAATGCACCCCTATGTTCATTCAGCACAATCTGCAATAGCTAAGACCTGGAAACAGCCAAGTGCCCATCAGTAAATGAGTGGATTAAAAAAACTGTGGTACATATACACAATAGAATACAACACTGCTGTAAAAAAGAAGGAGCTCTTACTCTTTGAGACAGCATGGAGGAACCTGGAGAGTATTATGCTAAGCAAAATAATACTTAATAATAAAGTCAGAGAAAGATAAGCGTCACATGATCTCACTTATATGTGAAATCTAATGAACAAAATAAGCTGAGGAACAAAATAGATCTAGAGACATAGAAGCATGGAACAGACTGTCAAATCTCAGAGGTAGGGTGGTGGTAGGGAGAGATTAACCAAAAAACTTACCTGCATGTATGCATAACCCATGAACACAGACAATAGTGTAGTGAAGGCCGGGGGAGGGGTACAGGGTGGCGGGATTAATGGGAAAAAAGGGGACATCTGTCATACTTTCAACAATAAAGATAAATTTAAAATAAATAAATAAAAGAAGTCTACAGTGTCTGTAAAGTAATTTGAAAAAAGCAGCCTCCAACTCATATCCTAATTTTCAAGTTGGATACTTACAATCTTAGTCCATACTTTGCCTATTTTCTCCAAATACTCGTTTTGTGTGTCCTAAGGCTGACCCAGATGAAATTGCCAATGACTGATTGTTTTTGGACCCTCAAAAACAACAATCTAATATGGTCTGCACTAAGTCCTTGAGGGAGGCCACATTCCTCTTTTGCATTTTAAAAAATTATATATCTACTTTTAGTGCTTCCTACTTGGTATATGCCATAAATTTTAGTTAAAAAACAAAAAACAAAAAACCCAAAAAACAAAAACAACTCCACATCTCTAAATTAGGGTTGTCAGGAAGCAAATGGAGGGTGTGGTGATTATTGGTGAGGATGGTTGCTTAAGACAGAGTCAAACAACAGTTTCTATTGCCTAAAAATTTCAGAGAACAAAAATGTTATTGAACCGGATTGTTGATATCCAGGGTCAAAAATATAATACCAAACTAAGATTATATTTATGAGGACCAGCACTAAATGAATAAGAAATATAAAGGCAAAATTAGAGCTAACTAAAAAAATTTTTAAGGGCAAATCCCTTAAGTTAAAGCAATCAAACCCACAATCATGAATATTTTAATATAGATAAAACATATTTGAAAATTAAATTTTACTGAGAACCCCAAAGAAAGACAATTCTTTTGGTTTTATTTTATCTTAAAAAAATATATCCTAATAATTATAGAGAAGAAGGAAGAGGGAGAGAGAGGTAGAAACATCAATGATGAGAGAGAATCACTGATTGGCTGCCTCCTGCACTCCCTCCACTGGGGACCAAGCCCTCAATCCAGGCACGTGGGATTGTTCAGTTCACAGGCCAATGCTCTATCCATTGAGCCACAGAAGCTAGGGCTCTTTTGGTTTTAATAATTTTAAGGTTGTTTATCTTCTCAGTGTCCCTTTTAATATAACTTTCTTGGTGTGTTGGATCAATGCCCTGCTTGTAAATCTACCTTTGGCCTAAGCTATATTATTGAAAACAGGTTGTCTTCCATTTCTAGTATTGACAAGTCTAAGGAATAACGCTGGCTATCTTCCTAAATTTCTCTATGTGTTCTTCTTACCTACATGTTAGAACTAAATAATAATCGATGACATACCACAAATATATATGTGGCAAGTCTGCTCATGTTACTCCATAACATTAGCTAAAGTCAGTTTAGTCTAGAATTATGGAGATGTAAAAAGCCTGGAGAAGAATTCTGTAGCTCAACATATAAAAGGGAAGAAATTCAAGTTCTCAAGAAGTCATGCAAATTGTACCCAGTCCAATCCAGCCAGGGTGGCTCAGTGGTTGAGCATTGACCTATGATCCAGGAGGTAACGGTTTGATTCCAGTCAGGGCACAGGCATTGAGTTGTGGGCTCAATACCTGGTAGGGGGCGTGCAGGAGGCAGCCGACAGATGTTCCTCTTTCATCGATGTTTCTATCTCCCTTTCCCTTCCCCTCTTTATAAAATCAATAAAAACATATTTAAAAAAATTATCCCCATTCCTACTGTTGAGAGTGACAGAAATGAAAAGAGAATTCTGATTTCCAAACTACTAGCATGATATCTTTTCAAGTAAAATGCAACAGGTTCTAACATTGGAAAGTTAGAGAGAGAGAGAGAGAGAGAGAGAGAGAGAGAGAGAGAGAGAGAGAGAAAGGGGGGGGGGATGAATCATGAAGGAAATACTGCATTTTGGAAACTATTTTAAGCAAAAGTTTCTGTTAAAAACCAAATTACAAAGGGAGTACCAATGTTTTGCAGAACACTGAACAAGAGGTTACTGAGTCTATTGCAACTCTCAAGTGGCATATCTGGATTAAATTTCTCAGGGAAACTGTATAGGGTTAGGATGTCCCACAGCACTATGACCAGACATCTTGATAATCACATTGAGGAACTTAGATGGTCAAAATATTTGTTGAATGAATTCTGAATGAATGAATGCAGTGTGGATGAATGTGTTCTCCCAACTATTGAACCCCACACTCCAGCACTGCAAAAGAGTAAACGATTTCCTCACTTGCCTTGGAAACAGAATTTATTTCGACTCTGCTGTAGGTCCCCAAATAAATAGCCATTAGTTCCTTCGAGAATCCTGAAAGGTTACGAAACTAAACCACAGAACCACCAAATTACAGACAACATATTGCAAGTTTTAAAATCACAAATATTAGTAGTAGGGAACTTCATAATTTCCTCTAAAGGATATGATGATCACATAGATTAAACAGGACCAATGAGAATAACACTTCAAACTGACAGCAGCCAATTGGAGTAAATCTGCAGGAACACTAAGTGATCAATTCGTCTGAAACTCCGACAGTCACCAGCATTTCAAAGCTCTCTCAGGTCAGTTAGGAACTGCAAGGCTATTCCAACCCAGACCATGAACCAACCGTGACACACCACAGGAAACAGGCCAATCTTTCAGGAGGATGTTGAAACAAGTTTATATAAAGCACAGTTGAATTTTTCAAATCAATTTAAGCTTCTTCCTCCAATCTAGAATCCTTTTTTTTTCTAACATCAAAAGCATCAGATTTTAGTGACTTAAAAGAAAGCGCTCTCTCTAGGTTTTTCACACTTGAATATTTTCACAGTCAAACAAAGAAATGCCAGAGGAACATGAAAGCTCCGCCTCCCCAATCACAACTGACTTGAAACTTGATAGGAATTCAAAGCCTGAAATGCCACCATCAGCTTAATTACAGTCGATTTAAGTAACTCCTTTCTTTTGAGTGAACAGTCCAGATTAACTGTGATTATATCATGAACTATTTAAACCAGTATTAGAAAGCCCTGAAAAATATTTTTAAAAATTAAATAAAATAAATGTGAAATTTCTTACTGCGTTTGGACTGAATGTATTTGAATACTTCTTTCACTGGTTGGTCTGATCGGTGGACCAACCTTAAAAGAACAAGTCACTTGGTGTTTCCATTTTAAATCTAATTAATGCCAAAACAAATTTGCATTCCTTGACTTCTTTACCTGTGGCACACTCCCTAAGTAGCACAAAACTGAAACAATATTTATCTATCCACTTCATGCTCAAAATCTTCACACTATAAATCCAGAGTCAATACTCCATTAAAGGAATCATCAAGAGTATAAAACCATTCATAAAGTGTTGATTTCTGGTATGATTACTCTTTCTAACTTGCTCTAATCTTTATTTCCAGAAGAAAAAAATTTGCTAAAAATGGCACAAATGTGTCCTAGATCAAGTGGCCATGTAATCAATCAGCCATGTCTGACAGGGAAAGGAGGTGCTATAAGTAATGAGGCCAGGACCACAGGTGCAAACTGGGCTGCCTCAGGGAGACCAGGCATGTGGGTACTGTATGCCTCAGAATCCAAGAGAGGGCACATGTTTTCATTCCCGGCCTTCTGAGGGTTGTGGAAAGACCCCTAGTAAAGAGGGCCTTTTCGGTCCAAGTCTTGGGTGCCATGTTCTATCTGCTCTCCACGGCATCGCATCCGCTCACTTACCCGACCACCATGTCCTTGGGTCCGGCCGTCACGGTGCAGATGCCGTCCTCGCAGTGCTTCCCCACCAGGCTGTGTGCATGCAGGTGGATGCTCTTTCCATTTGTGACCAGCTGGACAATGACCTTTGCAGGTCCCATATAGTTGCAGATCTATGAAGAAGCACATTTTAAAAGTGAGTGCATCAGATGAGTGGATTAAAAAACTAGTGCATATACACAATGGAATACTTCGCTGCTGCGGTAAAAAAAAAAAAGAAGGAATTCTTACTATTTGCAACAGCATGGATGGAACTGAAGGTCATTATGCTAAGTGAAATAAGCCAGTCAGAGAAAGATAAATACCATATGATGTCACTCGTTTGTGGAATATAATGAACAACATAAACTGATAAACAGGACAGATTCAGAGACAGAGACGCCTCGATCGGACTGTCAAACCTCAGAGGAAAGGTAGGGGAGGATTGGGGTAAGGGGGAGAGATCGACCAAAGGACTTGTATGCATGCATATAAGCCTAACCAATGGACATGAACACGGCGGAAGGGGGGGGGGCATGAGTGGGGGAGGAGGTTAGGGGGTTAATGGAGGGATGAAGATACATATGTAATACCTTAATCAATAAAGAAATTAAAAAAAATTAAAACAAGCCAGATTCTAAAACAAACAAACAAACAAACAAACAAACAAAAAACAACAGACCAGATTTCTTGAAAAAAATTAAAAAATAAAAATGAGTGTATCTGACTCTATTGCAGTATAGAAAATGCTTAGGACAAGCCAGTAAGTATAAAAAATAGACTCTGTTTTTAAAAATATGTGATGAACAAATGATAGGATGGAAACACATAAAAATGTTAATGGTGGTGGTTTTGTGTGTGTGGGATCTACTATTTGGTAGCAGACCAAATATAATACAGTCCGTACTGTTGAAGTTGGAACAGCGCATCTTTAGGATGCTGTGTAGCCACGAAGCACCCTCTTTCTACTAACCAAGAATACATTTTCATGTGCACTTCATCACAATTTTCAGTCACGAAAGCTGTATAAAAGATCTGTCAGAAGGGACTGGGATTGATGGAGAATGGAAATCAAGGTAAGGAGTGATTTGAGCAGGCGCAGTACATCCTGTGATTCTGCCAATGAGACAGGCAGGAGAGTCTTACCAGAGATCTGGCTCTGAAGGTTGTCAATGGACACCCCAGCTCACAGACCAGGGTTGCAGTGATTGGTTAGGAAACTTAAGCCTGGCATTCTCTGCTATGAGCTCTAAGAACTGAGTTACAGATGCCCAGATCATACGTAGTACTTTAATTCAAGTAAGTGCGCTTCCAAGGTGCAAATCCTTATATCTGACACTGACTGCGCTCTTATTTCATAAATCAGGTTTTCCCATTGAAGGTAATTTATCTTTTTTATTGTTTTACCATGAAAGTGATAATTCCACTAAAAAGGAATTAGCAAGGGGATGGTTATATTTTAAGCAAAGGAAGGTTGGACAACCTTTCTCCTATAGTTGGTCCTCAGACCTAGAGCAGACCACAGGTTCCTTCTTTGAGAGAGTCCCAACACTAAACTCACATTAACAGAAAAGATTAATGGCTTTAGTTTTTACTTTCAGAAATCCTATGAATCAGAATCCTGTCATAAATGCAGCCAAACTGTTGGAAATACATTGTAACTCCCCAAAGGGTGACCAGCCATCTCAGTTTGCCCAGAACTGAGAGGGTTTCCTGGAACACAGGACTTTCAGAGCTAAGAGTTGGTCATCCTATCTCTGAAACTCACACTGCCTCTTTTCGAGGAAGTGCATGACCTAAATCCAGGGCCTCTCAGCTCTGCAATCATTAGAAATACTTTAATCTGCACAAGCAGCCTTTAGCTCAGGTGGGGAAAGAGTGGACAGGAATCCCATCTGGTGAATTTACGGAAGAACCAACATTGGCCAATAAAATTTATTGGAAACAGGCTTTCAACCAGTTTGCTTCTACTACAGTAGCATATCACCAAACAGATGCAGATTTCCTTGATGCAGGGTTTCATTAGGATTTTTTAGCATGGATCCCCCTCCACACCCCACCTCCCCGCCCCAATCCAATCTCTCAATGCAAGAATTGAGAAGTTGATATGAGCTGGGATTATTCCCCTGGAGGTTTTGGGGGAGAGACGACCCTCTAACCAACAGTGTGACTCCACTGAAAACCTTAGGGCTTCTCTGCCTGAACCTTGACTCAGAGCTGCGGCAAGAGTTTGCTTCCAAATCCTCTAACAAGCCTTCCCAAGGACCATGGCCACCTGTGGGTGTGGCCTCCCATCCTCATAGAGCTAAGCTAATCACAAAAAAATATTTAGGATTAAGTCAGGTTTTGACCACCTCAAAGCACAAATAATTTCTTAAACAGGCATAGCACTTAAAAAGCCTTCTGGGCATAACACTAGTTATAAACTTAATGCTTTACCTTTTACAACAGGCAGAGAGCCTCTGCCCCCCAGGACAGGACAGGGGATGAAAAGTACTGAGCTTGCTCCAAAATTGGCTGTTGTCCCTACATACTCTCTGGATCGCTGAGTCTTGCGTTTGGTGCTGACATCTGAAGTTGGTCTTTGTTATGAGGACACACTCCACAGGGGCTTCCTCAGTGGTAAGTGAACAGTGGAAGCAGCGCTAGATAGATCATGTAATCCCACTTTTGAAGTGCACAAAGCACAGAAACGCAGCAGTGTAAGGCATGGCGGAATGCTTCACTTGGGTGAAATCAGGCAGGCCTTCCACCAGAGCAGGACAACAGGAGGAATCCAGTGATGGAAGCCCAACCACTCTGGATATCTGGGCCCTTCAATGTCACCACTGGGAAGGAATCAGTCACGGAAGGGAAGAGGTGGGAGGTGTCCCCCCAAAGTACTCACATCTTTTTCTTTCTATGACCTCACGATGAAAGGGTGGCAAGAATGAGGAACTGGGTAGTCTCTGAGTAAAGGCACCTGAAAAATCTGGCGATGACTAACACGCTGAGCCATGTGAAAGAGCTCAGGTCGGCATGGCATCATCTGGTTTTTACACAGACCACAGAGCAAGGACAGGGAGGCCCCTGAGTTTTGCGGACTTTCCAAAATACTGACTGAGAGAAGAAAGCTGAAGTGTGAGGCAGAGAACACATGATACTATTTTGAGGTTATATGGTGAACTGGGATTCTAACATTATATTTAGATGATCTCAAATATCTAACATGGGAGAGGGAGGGTGTGATGTACTTTATAAAATGCCAGGATAGCTGAGAGCTCTTTGCAGTTGATTCGGAAATTCCTTTGTTTTATAAGGAATGTGGGTACTTTTAGTCAGCTTCCCTCTTACTTTTTTGAATAACAGTTCCCTTGGAAGTTAAGTTTATGGAAAGCAACTGCATCTTCCAGAAAGGTGGAATCATTTTGAAAGAGTCTGAACATAGCAGGCTCTTCATTAAACACAAATGGCTCAAGCACAAGGTCAGTTTTTAGTTACGGACAAAGAGACACAGATGACATCTTGAGTAATCAGTTATCAAGGGGGCATTGTAAGCATAAGTACTTGAGGGGCAGACGCTTGGTTTAAGGACAGGCCTATCATTTACTAGCTGTGGCCTTGGGCTGTGTTCATTCCTCCTCTGTAAAATGGGGATAAGAGCAGGACCTTACAGGTTTGTTGTGAGGATTAAATACATGAATGTGTGTAAAGTCTTTGGAACATTGACCAGTAAGTAACATTAGTACACAAGTGTTACCCATTACCTTTTTTTTTTTTTTTTTTACTATGATATTGTACTTCTCTACCCTGAGATCTATAAATAGTACAACTGCCCTAAGATGATGTTTTTTTTTTTTTTTAAGGTGGGTGGTTAGTATAAATGACCGCTAGGGTAAATCTTTTTTTTTTTTTTCCAGAGTGTCATATTTTACTGGGCTTCATTAATTTTCTAGTAATAATTATGTTACTATAGTAACAGCTGCCCTTCTTGGGGGAGCTCAGGATTCTGTGGCTTTCTTGATGAATTAAACTTTTCTTCCAAGAGCTTCATGACTCAATTATCTCCTGATGACCACAGGTTAGATCTGCTTTTTGAGTAAGAAGTAGAAACCAAGGTCTCAGATAATACCGAACTTAGTCAAATCACCTCCTTTTATTTAAAACAAGTCTGTCTTGCTCTGGCTAAGTACATGACTAAGAGAAGTAGTCTAGAATTTTCTGGGAATCAGAATTTGAAGTGGCTAGTTTGCTTGCTGAGTGAATGTGACCCTATCGCTCTGGCAGAATGTAGAGTCAACATGAAGGTAAGACGTGACACATGAAGTAGTACTTTTTCTGAGCAGTTTTCCTCATGAAGTGACGATGGTGATGGTAATTAAAGAGGAGGAAGAAGACAAAAGCAATGTGTTTAATTCCAAGAGCTCAGAGGCCAGGCTGCTGGGCTCTAATCCCTCTGTTGCAATTATTAGCTGGGTCAACAGGCAAAGATGGTTAACATCTCTGGATATCAGTTTTTCCACCTCTGTGTGAAAGTAATAACACACTTGGTTTCATAGAGTTGTTTTGAAGGATTAAATGAGCTGATACAGTGCTTGGAAACTAATGGGATTAGCAATCTCAAATATCAACTCTCCTATCCTCACTGACAACCAAAATGTGTCCATTTATTCAATGATTATTTATTAAGCCCCTGTATGTTTCATGTCCTGCAGTAAGTCAGGGATTGAAGGGATACAGAGTGAGGGAAATATAGACACAACCCCTGTTTTTTGGAGAATTAAAGAGTAGGACCAACAATAATCAGAGAAACTCGAAAATAAATGCCAATGCATAACTGAAGAGCTGACAAAGGACATACTGTAGGGATGTGACTGGGTCAGGAAGTCTGAGAAAGCCTCCTGAAGGAGGAATGAGGGCTGAGCTCTGGAAGAAAAGGATTGGAACGAGGGAAGAGGTGCGTAGGAGGGGCTTGGGAAGAGCAGCACGTGCAAAGGCTCTGTGGTAAGTCTGCTTATTCGTCATACTCACCACCACTTCTCAGTTTCCTTCAGTGGTTGCTACCCCCTGGGGGTGTCCCTTCCTTCTCTTTTCTACCTAGAACCACCCACTTCTCAAGGGTAAGACCTAATTCTCAGTCTTCCATGACACGCTC